TTTTTTTTGCGGACGAATCCGTCAGCACAGATCCCGTCAACTTTTTGTTCGTTTAATTGCAAATGGTTGTCAATTAAACAACAGCGTCTTCGATGGAAGCAGACGGTAGGTATTTCAGTTGAGCACTACTACAAAATATGATTGGCTTCTGGAATCGCTCTGTTGACGCGAAAACTACTTTTTTTTGATGTGTTGCCCGACCGTGATTCATTTGGTTGCTCGTCTTTTCGCTCATCGAATACTCGATACTTTGAATTGGTCATATACCAGTGCAGCATTAAATCATACAAATATTTGTACTCATCCTATAAACAAAAATCTTCAAGAATACACTGCATACTTTTATGGTTATACGTCTTTTTTCCGCCTGTTGTTAAGAGGTTATTATTCTTTCAAATAATTAGCTAATTTTTTGGTCTATTTTTAGCTGTATAAATAAATAAAAGCCAAAAATTTGCAAAATTAGAAAAATGACCTTCATATCAATAAGTTGTGGCCTGTTTATCCTAATCATTTTCACAGCATGAAAGACATCTACTTCATGATCAATATCCATTTGATCAATACAGACGTTAGCTGCAACGAAAATACCACAACGACTGACACCGTTGCTGTAAAGGCGATAGGTTAACGGTTATTTTACGATTAATATTAAAGTCAAAAACATGATTATTTTAAATTATGACACTAAAACTGTGCAGAACTGAATAAAATAAATTGCTTACTGTGACATCACAATAGTTGGTTTGGTTTCTGGTCTATCTGGAGCACGTTTTTTCCACGATCTAGCCATTTTAATTATATCTATCAAACCGGAAGTTGACAAAGGCACTTTATTTTCAATTGGCCACATTTTTACCTGTATTAAATAAAAGATTATGAGTATGTAAAACAACAACAACAAAAAAAAGGAACATAAAGCACTAACATGAAGAAACAGAAAAAATTAAAAATCAACAAAAATAACAGAATTGTAACCTGTATAACACAACATATCCGAATTTCAGCTTCTAATTGCTGCTGATTTGCACCATTTGCCACTATTTCAGAGATCATATACGTCTAAAATTGATCAACATGTGATTTACTCAACATAATAGAGGTTCTTTTTAAATAAAAAAACTACGCAAGGTCAAAAGCTGTCGAGATGTTACAGAAGTTTGATTCGATATTTGAGAAATACACCTATTACAAGTGTTGTATAGAATCAACAAAAAGAAGAGGAACGTTAATGAAAAATAAACTATGCTTAGAATAAAATTTTGTTTCAACGATATCTGATACTAGATTAAAAATTGAACAGTTTAGCATCGACAAGCAAATATTTTGTTATTTTCCACGCACCATAAACCATAGTAAGTTTACAAGGATTGTTAGTTTACTGAGAAAGCCAAAGATGCTAAGTTTCTGCAGTTAATCAACCAGAGCGGTTAGCCATAAATTCAATCTCTACCTCTTCTTTCTTAAAATTAGTGATGCCACACAATACAGATGTGTTACCAACAGAATTAGCATTTAGCGTAGATGACAAATTTTTTTTCACCAACGACGCTTTTTATTGAGGGCCAGAATTGTCAAACTTTTGTTTTATTATAAGCGGGAGGTTCCTTCTTTTATACTAAACGAGACAAATTATCCACAGAGGAAAAAAAAAACATAAATGAGGATCAGCTCTGTATGTTTAAGCTAACTGAGTGGAAACCTATCAACAATGATTTTTGATGCCACTTTCTTAATTATTGAAAAATTCTAATTTTGGCTCAAAAAAGATGAGAAAATCTTTATGTCAAGTTATGTTTTAAGCAAAAACTTTTATTGTCTTTTAAGACTGAATCCGACATGATAGCGCCGAATGAAGTAACAAGGTCAATGGCGTTTAGTAATTAGTGTTATAGACAAAGATTTCAGTTGTACCAACAAAGCTTAAACAATATCTACAATAGACTATGCTGTAGATCTCCACATTGCAGCCTACAATGAAAACTTGATTATTCATCAATATTTTATATCTGTCTGTAAGTCTCAGCATTTTACGAGCTTCAGGAATGCAATACATGAATCTGTGTTTCAAAGCAAATTGTTTGAAATTTTTTAGATAAAACTTTTCCATAAACATATCCCCGTCTTTTTTACATTGTTTTGAACCAACTATACACATTCCATTTTATAAGTCTGAAACAAAACCATCTCTTTCATTTTTTACTGATCACCTCTGCCAATGTTTCTTAATTACTGCAGAAATAGCTGAAAGCTGTAAGATAACTGTTCTAAGTGCCATTTCCAAGCCATAACTTTAAAAAAACTCGAAAAAAAATTAAACCTTCAACTATAAGACCAGTGTTCTAAAAGCTGAAAAATTTTAGAAAGAAATGACACAAAATTTTTAGGAAAAAGAATTGGAAATAAAGTTATGTGAAAAATCTGATAAACTTTGGATATAAAAATCTAAATCAATGAACTATACTGTTGTGATAAGGCATTAACAGATTCTTATTGGTAACTAACCAAGTAGAGGAAATACAGTGTAACAAAGCAGTGTTGCTTTTTATAAACTCCTTGTAAACTAAACTTTCCCTCTATTTTTCAGCTTTTCTAAAGTAAAATCTGAATCAAAATCTTGATTCATTATGCGGCATTCTTAACTATAGCAACTATTTACTTCAATATTATAATTCCTTCTCAATATTAGAAAATTTCTTCATTTCACAAAAAAGTTAATGCTGAAACCTTGCAGTCGTTAGAGAGTCTGCGTTTAATTAAAAAAATTCTTCTTAGTGCTCAAAAGCTGCAGGTTACTTTTTATTGTTTTTTTTTTGTCATACGAGAAAGGTTTATTCAAAAATAAAAAATAATAAAAAAAGGAAATAAATAAGTGGATAAAAAATAATATACAATTAAATTCTGTAAAAATTTTCAGAGAATGACATCTGTCACAGTTGTACAGTGTTCCTCAGCATTTGCCAACATTTATAAATCGACGTCAACTGATGATCAGTGTGTAAAAGTACAAATGAATCTAAATGCTGGTAATTAACTCAAGAAATTTTCTACACATCATTGGTTTTTATAACCAGGCTAATTGTCAGAACAACTATTTACTTAATTTCTAAGCAATATTTAGGTAGACTTAACAAATAGCATAATCAGATATTGGTTAATTTTGAAAATTTATCGTATACATTCTTTACACTTACTATCAAATGTGTTCCAAAAATTCGTATTTTAATCATCTATATTAAATGACCACTGATACAGCTATGTACAGCTAATATTTTTAGATGTATCCTCAATCAGACTGCGGTATAAAAATGATGAATTTTATCAGTTTGTTTTCGTTGACTCCTGG